CCCCTATAACTGTTGCTCGCTTTTCGTTGACGGTTTATCTCTGACGATGGACCCCCGCAGGAGCCCCAAAAGCTCAGATGGATAAAATTACAATTCCGGTGATCGCAGCGACTTCTAGGAATATTTCCTTGTCACGATGTTAGACAGCTGAAGTTGCATTGACTGTCAACTGTTTAAGACCTGCATGGGACATCGTTTGCTAGAATCCGATACCGTATTCTGCCTTCCCGGCCGCAGTAGGGCACTGGTGGAGTCACTGTCATGTGCTGGACAACGCATTAGCCATGCGCTCACCCTCACGTGCTTGGCAGCGTCTGATGCTCAGTGCTTATCTGGTCACTGCCTAGTGGTCTCGGGAACGAAACCATAAACCCAGTTGTGAATACGACCGCAGGGGGAAGAGAATGTCGATAAAGCTGAATACTGCGTTTCTGGGTCATGTCAGACTCTGGCAGGATCCCGCCAAAAAGGGACACCGACTTCTGCCCTGGGTGATATACTTACCGAGGTAAAATTGTGGTAACTAAAAAAAACTGGCTATGTCGCATGCCGAAAATACACAGACTACTTGGACGACAGTAACCCAGGAATCCAGCGTTTGCGTTTAGAAATAGTAAAACTATATAAGACGCGTACGTGCAAATTCACTGCTGTGAACAAGGCCGTTTCATCGCTATGCAAGTGAGAAATTTAGCAGAACTAGTGGAAGACGCAGAATCCCCGGCAAACTGGTAGGTAGATGAGCCGGAATTGCTTGTATGTCCTCCGCTATCCCTCTCCCTCCCGTTTACTCGATCTAAATTCTAGGATGGATAACTATTCATGTATCCTTTCCGAGTATCGACTCTAACACTCGCCGTAACCTTAAACTCAGCTCTAGCTCTACCTTTTACCACAACCCTTATTTCTCTGGAATTTGGTGCAAAGCCATCTGTATAACGTGTAGTTCTTGTTTCCATCTCCTGCTGGGGCTCTATTTAATCAAGTCCTATCCATAGATGAAGGTTGGTGATACATCGATAGTGAGCAAATTAGTAAATATAGCTGTCATATATCTGTCACTGCATTGTCAATCAAGAGATTGATGTGATGGAAACAATTAATCAGTTATGCGACTCCGAGTTCTCGGATACATTGGCAACAATCGGGAGTCACTCGTTGGAGGATGAACGGGTTCTGGTAACCGCACGTTCGTCCATAATGCACATAAAGGGGGCATTACCAACTGCTACTCCCTTGGCGAACTGGTACGTCACATTTTCCGGAAACGTTTCAGTTAGTGCGGAAACGACTACTCCGTCTCAAAAGTAAATTGGATCGACAGCCTGAATTACTTAAAAAATATAAGCAAACATTCAGGGACACATCGAGCGAGCTGAAAACGAAAACCGTTTCCGGTTCTAAAACGCTGGTACTTACCTCACCATCCTTTTGTAAGCCCCGGAAACCAGACAAAATCCGTCTTGTATTTCACTGTGCTGCAAAGTGCCAAACCTGATCTAAACGCCAAATTAGTAAGTGTGTTGTTAGGTTTCCGACTAGGGCGAATTACATTGGCAGGGGATATAAAATTG